ACCAGGAACCACCTGGACCATGCCACCGGCACAGGCGGGAGACTTCTAATATGGTCTTGTACGACATCATTCCGTGCCATGATAAGTGTGCATCGCGAGCATCTGGACTGAATACCGAGATGCTTCGCGACGTGCCTCGGGATGCTTGCGATCTTCAGAGGTCCTGCCCTGGAGCACGAACTCCATCGGCACTCGACCTCTTTGACGTTGCACGCGACGCCGTGGTGTCGCCGGAGATGTGAGAGAATCTCTTTGGGAGCGCCTTCAATAAACATAGCGCAAGGAGAATGTTCATCGTTCCAGGCACAACGATAGACTATGGGGGTGTCTTCGGCGGAGCAGCGCGCTTTCAACGGTACTGGTCTCCACATTTATGATAAGCGTCGTGAGGGCTCGTAGAATGGCATGGACAGTCATGCAGAAAGCACCTGGGAGAACGTAACGCGTGAACAACGGGTCAAATGTCCATAAGTGAAGTCCTTTACCTGATAATGAAGGATATTCCTGATGTGGGAGCTCGGGTAGTAGGATGGGTGGTAAGAACGAACAGTCGGGGAAAGCGTCCATGGTTAGATACTACTGTAAACCTTGAGTGGAGAATAAGGCCTAAGGCTTGAGAGATATGGGTCTCGGTGACATCCTCCTTTTTTATATGCCCCATAGATTGCTTCTCGTGAGAGGGGAGCAGCACTTCCAACCCCGTGTTAATCTACTGCCAGCTGAAAACCTAACAAGTGACAATTTGCCAAATGCTTGAACTGCATTTTTGAAACTGCCGGGAAGTCAGTTCCACTGAATAACTTACACGTGGCGTGGCGGGTGGCGATGCAATAGTAAGCCATGACTTACACCACCGCGAAGGCATACTTATTTTTTTCGCAAATCGCATCTGCCATGACAAGTTCCGTAAAAGAAGGAGGGAGGTCGGGGTGGTGCAGATGATGGTTCAATGTACTTACTTAATCATGATCCATGGAAATCCTAGGAAGATTTAGTATGGTGCAACATGCGCATGGTGAATGAATTCCTATTAGAAAATGGTCAGAGGTCAATGTGCGGGCGGAATTTGGGCGGAATACTGCTAACAGACAGAAGACTGCACTGGTATTAGCCGCATCAACAATTTGGAGCGCCCGTATGCATGATGACATGATGATTAGATACTTCACTCACGTTAACGAAACACAGACAGAAGACTGCGTTGGCATTCCACTGAGGAATAAGCGCTAAAGAGCCGCATCATCGTCTGGGGAATGACCTTATTGGTTGAGCATGTTCAAAGAAGTTGGCCCGGGTTTCGTTAACGTGAGTGAAGTATCTAATCATCATGTCATCATGCATACGGGCGCTCCAAATTGTTGATGCGGCTAATACCAATGCAGTCTTCTGTCTGTATTCCGCAGTATTCCGCCCAAATTGTCGGTGTGTCGTTGTTGTCTAATCATCATGCCATCATGCATACGGGCGTCGGGCGCTCCAAATTGTTGATGCGGCTAATACCAGTGCAGTCTTCTGTCTGTATTCCGCAGTATTCCGCCCAAATTGTCGTTGTGTCGTCGTTGTGTGTTGTGCGCGTCGGACGGTCGATGTCATATTGTGTTGCTATGTGTTCATAGTCGTCCGCAGTGCTCTCTCCTATTTACAGTTCTTTGTTCACCACCATGGCGACTTCTGCTTTATTTCACGGCGTTGTTGGTATTCAAAATGGAAGCAGATATCAGATCGACAGAAAAAATTACTGGCGATACGACGGATTCATTGCCACACCAGAAATGGGCGATTTGCGTGTCAATGTGTTCACATTTGGTGCAAACACCGCTTCTGCTGAAGATGCCCGCACGACTATCGGTCCTATCATTGATGACGATGGAAAATCTGCGCATTCTCTTCATCTCTTTGCCAATGATGTACGTCGCTTTTCGTTTCGTTTCGTTTCGTTTTTGGAGGTTCGTTAATATTGGATAACGCGCATTCATTTCGCCTCTGAATGTCTACGTCGATGAATTCAACGACAGAATTTTAGACAATTTGCCGGGCGACTTTCGTAAGTATCGCAAACAGTCATCGACGGCACGTTCCACTCACAGCACAACATAGAATCCTATTTTAGTTCAGACAGTCTGAAAGAAGCTGAACACACTCCATTGAACGCACCAGAACACACCCCCGACTACCTCGCAATGTTGAGTTGAAAAGGGATTGGTCAGGAATGCGCGCGTACGAGTGATCGCGCTGCATCGTCGATTCGTCGAAGTGCAACTCCTCAACACGTTCGAGAGCCACTGTATTCCCCGCATCAACTTCACATTCCATCCAAACCGTTCGTCGTGGACAGTAAACCGAAAACAATTTCCACTGCGAGCCGCGTATGCAACTACATTTAATGGTTGCCAAGGATTAACGCTAGCACGAACCGTGCTTGACTTAAGAACAGATCCCTTTGCTCATGGTCAATTGTACACGGCGTTGTCGAGAGTCAGAACGAGAAGAGACACGCTGTGTCTGTTTGGAGAGATGAACGAAGAACAAGACTGCGCTAATATTGTATTTCATGAGTTGCTATTATAAATATGAATTCGAACGACCGACCGAAGGCGGGAGTCCTTGTACATATTAATCTACGGACAAGACTGTAATATGTAATGCCAATATGTCAGAGGCTCAGAGCGCCCACCAGCGTGTCAACCCAATTTCCTGAATCCCAAGCGCCCAGCTGATTCAGTGCTGTGACGGAGACACTATTCACCGCGACTTAATCCCGCAGCGACGTTATCTAGTACATCGTCTGGACTCATATCCTGCAAGCGCAATGGAAGAAGACTACAAGACAGACAGAGGTCCACCACCACCGTATCCGACTCCAATGACCCCGACCCCCCGTCCGCCTCCCTCGGGCATCCGAATCCCGCTGCAGCTCAACTCTCGCATCCCTGATCTCAGATCCACCAGAGCACCCCCATGCTACGATGGAGACGGCGTTTCTCCAGTCTTCATCGGATCTGCAATCTTCCAAAGCTCTGTCCATCCCTGCAAGATCGCGCCTCATCTTCCGTTTCCCTGCCGCGTGCCATACGCTGGCACTGAGGTAGAGCATCAGGGGCGGTATGATCTTCTGCCATTTGACCCTGATGCTATGGAATGGGTCTGTACGAGTCTAGGTCGTATACCTCAAGGGCGGTATCCTGTTGCTGGGGGTTATGAAGAGGATGGGACGAATTTGTATCATGCACGGGCTCGCGTGGGGCAGACCTGGGTTCCTGGTAAGACAGGAGAACATCTTGTGCGTATTCTCATTCTACCTATCTCATGATGTCTGAGTTCCTGACAGGGGGGATGCAATGTCGCATATGGTGGTCAAGAGCACGTCGTCTCAACAAGCTATGAGATCTTGTGGGTTCACCTGCTTATCTCACCCTATGATATCGGTGCTGACAAAATACAGGTGCTGGAGGAGTGCCACACATCTCGGGAAAGACAAATAGATTGGTTATATCGATACGGAGTATGCAGTCGTTCCAAGTTTACCTTGATAGATAGATTGATCGGAACATGTCTACCAAAACCAAGTGGACAACAGGGTAAGTATGAAGACAGGATACATCTACAACCATAAGATGTCGCCAAAGAATACGACAGGGGTGATTTTTGAGAAGCGAGAAGCTACCCATGAAGCACGTACAAGTACAGATAAGCTCTAATCACCGAGCTCCCTCAACAACAGCAGGTTGTGGCTGGGTCTGTTGTGGCTGCTGCGGGCTGTGGAGCATACCAGTACCCAAAGCCTGCGTCCGGAACGCCAAACCACGTGTCTTCTCGATAACAGATTGATATACTGGCAATGGGGAGCGGTGGATCTCGATGACATTCTATAAAGAAGATATGACGATCAGTGAATGAATTCTCCAGTACGACGTTATTAAGTGACGCCGAAATGGGATCCGCACCTTTTCGAGGTCGATCTTCGCTTCTGCTCCCATACGAGTTTCGCGGATGAGGTTGACGATCCACTTCTCGCCTTCATCTCGTGAGAGATTAAGACGTTCCGAGAGGTCGCTGAGCACGTGGTTGAGAATAAAATAATGTGGAACGCATGCCTCACTTACCCAATATCGATGCGTTGGTGTATACGGCAGTATGCCTCGCTAATTAGGTAGCGTGCATTATCGAGGAACTCCTCTCTGAACTCTCCAAGGAAGAAATCATCCCCGACAACACGGTCCGCAAGCGTCAGTTCCCGCTGTGCGGCCTCAAAGTCAAATTCGACGTAAAGCTCTTTCAGGAACGATGTAACAGGATCCTGATATTGGTACTCTTCCGTCTGGATGACCTTGACGATCTCGCGTATCGAGTGTCTCACACGCGAAGAAGCAGCTGTCCCACCTGCAGCAGACTTGCGAGAGAGGATGGCAGCGGTGGCGATGTATCGAAGGATCCAGGGACAAGAAGTTTGGATGGTGTTAAGGTAAGTGGGGGAGAGGAAGGTCTCGAGGAGGAGTGTCCGACCCTGAGGGTGGTTGAAGTAAACAAATAGAGACCAGTGAACGAGCCATGTCCGTGAATGGAGTTGCGTAAGGGCTGCGGGCTCGGCAGATGCCGTCAAGAGTGTTGAAGGTGAGCGTGAGTCAACGACGTCACGTAGGGTATTCAACTCTTCGAGAGCTGTCTCCCATTTTCCAGTGAGGATGTCGGAAGCAAGTTTACCCCAGTGGGCAGAAGTGTTGAGATCGTTATCGGTTGAAAGTACACGGAAGTGATACAGATAGTCTGCAGCACCGCTGTAGTTGCCGTAGGTATATTGGAACTGCCCAAAGTTGTATAAAGCAGTGATTTGTTCGAGGGTGAGCTGTATGAAACGTAAATATGTTGCAAACGGTCAACGGTAGGCGAGAACGTACGTTGTAGTTATCTTTGAGGTACTGCAGATTCTGATTTTTATCTTGACGCAGTGCCTGTGCAACATCTGGGTTCTCGATCACATCAAGGACGGCTTGAGCTTCCAGCTGTAGGCGCTCATTTGTTGAGACAGCCTTCTCTCGCTTCCCCGAGAACTCTGGAAGATCGGGCACATATAAATCGACACTGATGTAACTTGCAACATGATGACGCACCTTCAGGGATCTCCTCGTCAGGGTGCAGCTGCTCAAACAAGCTGACTGCGTAATCCAGCATGTTCGTGCCCTTTGCAAGTTCATACTGCGCTGCTTGAACCTGCTCGACCGGGAACAACGAAGTTTCGACGAGATGAGCCAACAACGGGAACGCCAGATGGCGATCCAGGTAGGGTATTATCGTTTTTGATAGATCGTATTCCGCCATGGTGGTATGTACGGTCCTTGAGGCTTGTAGACCAGAAATTTTACGGTCGCTCAAACAGGAAACTGCATAGCCACCACAGGTGTAACGAACTGCGATTATTCGTGAGGCTTGACTCTTGTCCACCGCCTCAATTGTTCACCATGACTGCAATTACGCAAAACTTGCCCAAATTTATATCAGACCTTGGAATCTCAATAATTGGTGAGGTATGTTGTTTTTGTAGTTTCAGTCGCCGGGGGTAGTCTTAATATGTTGCAGAAATGTTATTCCTCGCTGGTCGAGAACCTCAATGTCGGGGACGTGAATTGTCTCAAGTACTCGCTCTCCAAGGGCTTGGGTATTGGTATCGTAGTTGGAGGCTCTATCATGAAAGTTCCCCAGTTAATGCTGAGTGAGTCTGTCGAGCGCCTTCAACTCGTTAGGTGCTTATGACATGCCAGTTCTTAACGGGCGCTCCGCTCGCGGTCTCTCCTTACCCGCATACGTTCTTGAAACACTCGCATATGCTATTACGGCTGCATACTCATACCAAAATGAGTTCCCATTCTCGACATACGGCGAGAATCTATTCCTTACTATACAGAATACCATAATTACTCTCCTAATCATCTACTTCCCGCCTCCATCGCTTCGAAATGTACAGGCCACTGGCCCACGACTGGCAATCGCCAGCGCAGCTTCCGTCGCATCCGTCGTCACGCTGTATGTTCTCCCTAAAGATATCCTGTCTCTGCTGCAAATGGCCACGTTGCCACTATCCCTCTTTTCCAAACTCCCCCAAATCATGCAGAACGCACGTGCCCGCTCCACGGGTCAGCTCTCTGCGTTCGCTGTCGTTTCACAAATCGCGGGTTGTCTTGCTCGTTTGTTCACCACCGCCACCGAAGTCGGTGATCTCATCGTCACTGCTGGCTTTGCCCTTGCCCTCCTTCTCAACATTGTGCTCGGTGCGCAGATGTGGTTGTACTGGGGTAGTGACCACAAAGAAGACTTTGGAAAGACGCAGATTGGAGCACTCAGCGAGAAGGAAAAGGAAGACTGGGCATCGGAGAGGCAGGGAAGAGTTGATGTTGTCGTTACACCAAAGTCTCCTGTACCGCGTCATACCGCGTCACCTTCAGGTAGAAAATGGGCAAGGAAGGTTGACTAGTACTATACCTCCGTTATTTAATGGACTTGATTTCTATTTCTCCGTAAATTATGAACCCGTAAAGTCTCAAGGACTGATGCGCTAACATCTGCGTGTTGGACATCGACGATACGTAAGTACTACATAGGTTCGCTTCCGCCGGTTTGATGTTTGGTCTCCTCCCTTTGTCGCCACCACTCTGGCGCCGTATCGGCACGGGTCTGCTCCAGCATTTCGAGCTTTGAGAGCTCTGACTTAATGAAAGCCTCCAAGCCAGCAGTGACGATCTCTATTCCCTGCTTGGGTTCTGACTCTGGGGGCGGCGGCCATTGGGTCACCTCCACAGCACCACTTTGCATCTGGTTCTCGATGGAAGTAAGATTCTAATTATGAATGAGCACGCGACAGGTATACACTGGTGTTCAGAACAAACCTTGACCACATCTTTCAGTTGCACGATCGCTTGCCCCTGATTCATCCAATGCCGAACCGGGTTGACCTCCTCAGCAGTCCACTCACGTACCCTGGGGTCATCCATATGCGCGTTAACACCTACTGCCCCATCCGGATGTACCAGCTTCTCTGCACCACCAGGTTCGCTAAATAGCCTGTCAAACCACGATGCAACATTCGCAGATGCGTTTTTATCGAAGTCGGGAGCGAGGACGCGGGTCTCCGCATGGGATGATGGAGCATCGCCTAAAAACAAGAAGTCGTAACCGATGTATTTCTCCAAGTCGAACCGGTCCTCTTCTGATACTTCGGGGGTTTGAGCAACTTGGATGAAAAACCGGCCCTTGTACATAAGATGATGTCAACAGTATCGAGCGCGATTCTTAAAAGACTTACGGGTTGACTGTATGCCTCTATGACGAACGTTGAAGACTCAAACGGCGGAACCATTGGAAATTGCGCCAGGTAAAGCGGAATTAGGACGGGATAGGTAGCTTCCTGTCCTGGGGTGAGAAGGAAAAAAGGACACATTATCGGAGAGGACATACTATATTGGTTTTTATGAACCGTAGCTCAGAACGCACATCTTCATCAGAGGTGAAGGACGAGGTCCGTGCACGACTAATGACGTCGAGCGGATTGATAGTGTATGGCATACATACAACGTCAGAACCGTGTTGATGGGTAAGGCTCTGAGAAAATGGGACAGCTAGACTAGGTTCGACTTGGTCATTTCGGAGAGCAAGCCTCCCGAGGAGGTCAAATGCAGCGCCTTGTGAAAGTGATCAACCTCGCTGGTATGCCTGCTGTAGAGATATCGCACCCGGTAAGTAACTATATGGACATGATCAGTTACAGAGAAACTTAATAAATGAACTAGTGTACCAGTTATTAAAATACGCGGTGACAGTTCGCTGCAAGGCTCAGCGTAAAATGAATGTAGCAGGAAGGACTTGAATATACCTGTCGCTCACTATCCCCATCATTCATGTATGACTCGACTTCTGAATCCAAGAACCAAGCAGGAAAGTAGACTGGTTGAATGCGGATGGGTTGAATTGGCTGGAAGTTTCCGCCGATATACTTTGCACCGAGCGACCCAAGGAAGTTGCGGAATAAGCAACCTACGGAAGCTGCTAAACCAACATGTCTGATGGCAGCCTCTTTTGAAAACGCAAATGGAATAGCTGGAACATGCTGGTCAGCAGACTGCAGGAGGTACGAGACGAATGCAGGTGACCTCTGACTTTTGGATGATATTGTGGTACGTTTTGCGAGTAGGTTCGTGGAGAAGACGTGCGGTTAATATCGCGCGCAACAGCTCGTGCTCGTCGTCGCAGCATTAGTCTACCCGCTGGACAAAGCTCTTGGACGCTTCGTACAGCAAATGCAGCCAAATTTGAGTGCAACTTGGAAGTGGTACACTAGAAAAGGAAAGTCGGTTATTTGTCACGTGAGTGAGCGATATACGTGTTCCGCAAAATATATGACCTGCTGGCAGCTGCAAATCATCTGCCTTCAGTCCCGCCTCTCCCTAAATACCTTGGTCCGTAATGCACTGGGTGTCAAACGTAGCCATTCTATGGCTGCTTTTTGCTGTTCTTGTTAGCGCAGCCGATCTCTACAAAGTTCTTGAGCGTCAGTCCAAGGCGTGTACCAACTGGTTTGGACTAGCCCGTCTGACTGATATACCTGGTTTCAGTGTCCAAACATGCATCGGAGCAGGATATCCGCAAAGCGTACAAGCGCCTGAGCAGGAAGTATCACCCTGACAAAAATACAGATCCAGGGGCGGAGGACAAGTTCGTTGACATTGCTCATGGTAAATCGAATTATACGCACTTCCGTAGAATGGTATCCTCATGGTATTCCATCAGCATATGAAGTCCTTTCAGACACCACGGTATGCACAATTCTCAAGTACTCCTTGATGTCCACTCATAATTTTTAGAAACGCCAAATTTATGACAGGCATGGTGAAGTGAGTCTATCATCGACTCACTACAAATTATTATGGATATAAATACGCACCTTTTACGTTTAGGAAGGATTGAGGGCGCACGAAGGTGGACAACAGCATCATGCCATCCTTTCGACATATTTTCCAACGTCTTCGGTTGGTGCCTGTGGGTTTTGTGATTCCTTGCCACTACCTCTTTGCACTGATCAGTAAGCAGTCAATACACAGCAACAAGTGCGCCGTGGACAGACTGCTCTCATGAATTCGAGGTTTCACTCGCAGATATGTAAGCTCGTATCCATTACGTCTCTGCGACGGTTAACTCATGAGTTATGCAGGTATATGGGTGCTAATATTGACGTTTGTCTTGACCTTCCGTGTTGCTACACTAGTGGATTGACGCTTCACCCTTAACAGTTTACGATGAGGAAAAAGATACTTGTGATCACTGTCGCGGCTCAGGCGCTGCTTCAGACGGCGACATCCATACTTGTTCAGGATGTGGTGGACACGGCGTGAAAACCTTCAAACAGCAAATATTTCCCGCCTGTTTGCAACAGTCCGCAGTCGACATGTAACGATTGCGGTGGTCGGGGAAGAGTCATCAAGAAAACTATGTCCACACTTGTAAAGGAGAGAAGGTGGTCGAGCATATACAACACTATACTCTGGAGTTGCAACCAGGTACACCAGAAGGGTTTGAGGTCGTGTTTGAGGGAGAGGGAGATGAGAACCCAGACTGGGAGGCTGGCGACGTTGTTTTGAGAGTGCGAAGTAGGAAGGACAAAGGTGCCTGGTCGCGGAAGGAGAACAGCCTGTACTGCGGGAGACCATTGGCGTGACGAGGTAAGCTTGTTGACATTGTCCCTCTTCGACAGCTTATGTTCCTGCCTTAAATTGTAGGCACTCCTCGGATCCAACGTAATATCACGCATCTCGACGGTCACGTCGTCGAGATAAATCGCCAGGGAGTGACCCAACCTAGTAAGCTGCTCTCATTTATTCGCTTAATTTATCAGGGTGGTATTCAACTTCATCGCAGGTTATGTTCAAACTATAGAAGGCGAGGGGATGCCCCTGCATCAGACAGACAATTTCGGCGACCTTTTTATAGAGTACAATGTTGTGTTACCTGTTGAGCTCAGCTCAGATATTCGGCAAAGTGAGTGATTTCCAACCCTATCGTTCATGGTCTTGACTGCATTTCATAGAACTCGCCGAGGCATTTTATGGATCAAGTCACCGCGATAGAGATGAGCTATAGATTTCTTGGATAAATGGCAAATTTGTCGTAATTTATCTTTTTCCGAGAGCTTGTTAGTTTGCGTGAAAGTAGATTATCACCTGCCAAATCAAGCGTTGCGGTGCTGTGCATGACCTGCCCTAAGGTCGCACTGCATATAAGAGAGCCTGGATGCGGTTTTGGTTTTCTTCGGTTCCGGACCCCTTCGGCATGGACGAGGTTGGTCGTATTCTTTGTACTTAACTGAATGTCTCACT